ATTACTTTATGTAAAACATATTGAGCTGCAGCAAAAAAATACTATTCTTGCAATGTCAGTCAATGTACTGTGCAGGCTTTCAGGTCAAATAAAATATTAAGGTTAAATTCCTGTCAAAAAGTTATCTGGATAACATGGAAAAGAATTAGAATATATCATGCTGTTATACCTGTCTGCATCCCCATTGGATACATTTCTCCCAAATGGGGCCACAGAAAGAAAAAAAAGAAACCAAAAACCTAGACTTCTAATTTTATATGCATGCCTTTGAGGCGCAACCAACCATTTCATAAAAGTCAATATAAAAAAAATGTTGCAGTGGAGCATGGCATATATTTATTGTGTGTAGTGATGTCAAATCTAGGCATTTTTTAACCCAACTAGTAGCAGCTTATTTGGGGTGCAAAGGTCCTGCCAATGCTTTTTGAAATGTTGAATACATACAAAAAAAACCTTTTCACTGACATAACAATAGTGACTATTTTAGTAATAAATGTTATCTCTATCTGTGTTGTGACTCCATCCCGCCTCTGTTGAATAACCCGATTTCTTTGCATCTCTGCCCTAAGTCTTAGGCTGATTTCCATACTATTTGCAGGGTACATTTTTCTTCTTTTTCAAAATGTATCAGCTTCTTTGACCAATCTTCATATGCTATTGATGAATACATTTCTTTTTCAAAATGGGTGGGTTGTTGGTGTCTCTACCAGGTCTCCAAGGTTGAACTCTGCACTGCTTTTGCACCTGCTTTCTTAAAAATGCTTTCATCTGTTAACGAAAAAAGGCTTCTCTTTTTGACCTGTCTCAAAGACTGAATTCCAGTTGCTATCCACAAAACACTTTTGACAAAAACCTCTTCTCATTCATTGTGGGCCTCTAAAGATTGTTTCTTCTGCTGGAAATGTGAAGTCATCAGTGCTCTGGCATGGGGTGGTAATGCTGGGTTACCCTATTAAACTCCATGATAGAGACATAGGAACATTAAATAAAGGAGCTTTGTGTCTATAAGATAGCATTTCAAACCACACTTATTCAGTTGCCAAGACTGTCATCATTGAATACAGGTTTGAACTGCTTTGATACCGTTCCTACTTACTGCCTTCTGATGAATTATCTATTGACTAATGTTGAAAAAGAAACCCAGCTTGGTATGTGTTTTGGTATGGACCTAGTCATTGGTAATGCTGTTAGGAGCATGCTTTAACACCCAACATATAAAGGCTAAAGGAATAAAGGAATTGGACAATACTTACACAATAAATTGTGTGAAGAATAAATTTTATCCATCCAGTCATGTGCAGGTGAAATAAGTAAACAGGGATTTTCACATGTTCGGATTATTGAAGTGAATCTTCATACAATTTATTGTGTGAACATTCTCAGCTCCTTAAATCAGCCTCATATTACATGTCTACAACATGTCTACTGTTACTGTGGCCAAACAACTCTATATTTGGTTCTTCAGTCTACAACACATTTTTCTATGCCTATATGCTCAACGTCAAACTGTAGTCTTGTTCTTTCTAGATAAGAAAATGCTTTTATCTGGCACAACTTCCATACAGGGTGAATTGCGAAATATCTTATCAGCCAAAAATGTATTTATGCAGACAGCCCTGCCATACTCTGTTAGGTCATGTCATTTCCTGCACTTCAATTCAAAGCATGCAACTCAGACCATAAAGCTCCAATAAATATCTTCCCAGCCTATGATTGGAAAGGAAAGGACCAAAAGCTCTCCAATTCAGTTATCCCTGTGCTATATCCTCTGTCCCAAGAATAGCACAACAGTGCAATGCAGTAGAGTCTGACTAGCACATGAGGTGCATTGGTGCACTGCCGTGCCATTCATTTGAAATGGCACCCAATGCGCCTTTCCCAATGTACTTTTATTGCAGCACACCACAGTTCACAGTAAACACTACCAAGTGTTGTGGTGTGGTATGCTCCTAAAAAATAGTGCAAGCATCTTTTTGTGGTTCATTTTTGGTGCGTTGGGAAGCCCATTTAAAAGATTGGCCTGCCTTAATGAAACACATATTAATGCACATCTGAACGCATTAACATGTGTGCATTTATGCATGACGTATATGTAAATGGTCTCTTAAAGATTTTTAATGAATGCGTAATTGGATTAAACATCCAAACATTTTCCTTTAAAGTTGATTCCAATCAAGGGGTATCTCAGAATAAAGCCTGGTTATTACAGAGCGGATACATTCATATTTTGTTATACTTAGCCTTTTACGTGTTAAAATCAGCTAGTGATAGTAATTCTGCTGTTACATCAGAGTTCCTACGTCATTCTCAAAGCTCAAGCACTTCCAGGTAGTGTCAAGCATTGCTCGCCCTGTTCTGCTTTAGGAACATTTCTATTATCCAATGAGGCAGCTCATCATAGTGATACGCCAATTGGAAAGGGTGGAAGGCAGTATATGGTAGTAGACAAGCTTTGGTACTACCAGTAAATGTTGGCATTTTGTGAATCAGATCAGGTGTGAAATTAGAGTGAGACAGAAGGATGCTGCATGTATGTGCAGGAACCTCGAGGTACCTGCACTTTAAAAAAAAAAAAAAAGGTTCTGACAAATATAAAGAGATATGGGCAGTTTACTATGCCAACACAAGAGCAGCAATGAGGTGCCAAACACAGTAAGTCATACCAACTTTTAATATTTCCTATTTGATCAGTAAAGATTAGTCATAACTAATGAGCTGCAACACTTTGCGCATTGTTTGCCTAACTTTGTGTAGGCATGAGTTCGTTGAAACAAATATATTTAATATTCGATTAATTGAGACATTTTTTGACAGTATTGACATTTTGCAAACAGGTCTATTAATGCTCTTCTTTTCTATAACTCCATTAAGCAAACATTGTACGAAATGTTCGGCAATGGATAGCTGCACAGAAAATGTTAATACAAATGTTAAGAGAAATATGTAAATATTTAGGTCTCCTAGTATATATTACAATCTTTTCAAACTCAAGCTGTACTCTTAACAGCTTCTAAAGTTCCCTGTTAATGGAAACGTGTACTAAAATAAATATGGGGTCTGTCTTGAGCTTCTTTATAAAAATGCTACTTACCTGGCTGCCACAGACTTCAATACTTTCTAAGCCACAGACTCTCCTATTCATCAAATTAGGTTAAAAAAAAACCCATATCTTCTATTTGTTCCTGGTCAGAGATTCAGAAGCACTAAGCAATTGGATCGAAGTTATGGCCAGGGTACCAGCCACAAACTCCTTACACAAGCCTTATGCAGAGCAAAGTATTAGAGGCTTGGGAGCTGAGAATGTTTTCCTTGTCCCGTCATGCTAAGAGCAGTGAAAGCATGCAGTTGTAAAACTAAATAGCATCCGCATTGTTTTTTTGGCAATGTACTGCAGGGAGAAATGTGACCTGTGAGAGAACCCAATTTTTCTTCCTAAAAGAATTATAACATTCCCTACTTCCAGGTGTGTTGGATGCCTGTTCCCCTGTTTCACTTTGTGGTACCTTCCACCAATGCCCAGGAGGGGACACCGGCATTCAACGCTCCTGGAAGTGTGGAATGTTAAAGACCTTTCAGCAATATTCTCTCAACTTGTTAAAGAAATGGAGACAGGGTTACTCTAAACCAAGTCATCACTTGGCCCAACTCCCCCTTTTTTAAATGAAAAATAAATTGTCCAATAGGTTTGGAATAAAAAAATTAGCTTCTGCTACAATATTCCCCTTCTGTCTGGTGCTGTTTCCTGCAGACTCAATGCTCGGTGCACAGCACCAGCAACTTTCGGGTTTGAATGATGCCTAAGGTCATCTAACCGACTTCCTGTGAGCCCAGGCTTTCATGGACATATTCCCTTTGGATCATACCAGGCTGGATTCATAGTAATCTTGGATAGATCTGAGCTTACACATCAATATGTGAGCATCACTTGAGTCTGTGAGTAAGAAATGCTTGCTGCCACAGTCTGAATGATTCAAGGAATGTAAAAAAAATAGATGTGGGGGGTTACAGGAGGGGGGCAGCAAAGGGAACCAAAAATCTGGAGTTGGTATTTAAGACATTTAGCAGTAAGGATTTATATCAATATATTTGATCCACTAAACATATTTTTCAAATAATTTAAAATAAATAGTTACACATGTATTGTACACATCTCGTGTAAATGAGCCTAAAGGTGGCCAAACACTTTACAACCATCGCAAGACCTTAGTCTTGCAATGGTTGTAAAGTAATTAAAAAAACATACGATCTGCCCATCTTGGACAGGCAGATCGTACTCTCGATCATCGCAAGTCCGCAATCCCACTGACCGCAATGCTGAACGGGCAGTGTGCGCGCGCGCACACCGGCCCGTTCGGCATTTGTCTCCCGAGCACCGTTCAAACCAGCCAAAAATCGTACGATTTTCGGCTGGTTTTCTAGCGTGCTCCCTAGACAAAAGACGTGCGACAGTACAGTAAAAACGGTTGCACGTCTTCTATACACTTTGCGATTATCGTACAATCGCAGGATTTCCCGCGATTATCGTGCGATAATCACACAGTGTATGGGCACCTTACAACTCACAGGATTCTGCAGAAACTAATCAGTACAAATGCTTAAGTGATGATTTGATCAGGTTTCTATTTAGAAAGGCAGACTCTGGGCAGAAAATCCCACTGCATGTGTTCCAAGGTTCCAAGTATTTGGAATGGAAAAACTTTTGTGTACCATTAAAAATCTTTTCTAACTTAGTTAAATGACTTTATTGCATTGGAGGTAAGTTAAGGTTATCTGCAGCAATCATCCAAATCTAAAATCATACAAGCTGCCATCTAAATAGTCACAGGTACAGAGCACATTCACATCTCGCTTGCCTTTCCAACATTCAAAAAAAACCTTAACAAAGGTGTTACAAATGTAGTTTTCAAATACTCACCATTGACTAAAGGTAGTTTCTCAGTTGTCTCCATTTCTGCTCGGTAACTGGCATGCATTTTGTTAAGTAAAGCACAACAGCCATAGACATGAAAAGTAAATTTTATTAAACATGTTTACATAACATGAGTTGGAAGTTTATTTAAAAGCACAGGGGGGTGTTAAGACAAGTGGTCAAAATAGAAAGATACTACCCAATTATAATTTATTTGTTTTGGCCACTAAGACAGTACATAATCTATTAGTGCACCAGTGCTTCAGTTCTTCCTGCTCAGCAGGTCAAGCAGTAACCTATTGTTGCCCTACAGAAATATGGGCATAATGGTTTCAGCCTGTATAATAACAATAAATAGTTCACTTGGTGCAGGCAGTATGTCTATGAATCAAAACCTAGTGTGTACACAATTTCTACATGTGTTACAGCCCCACAGTAGGAATCTACACCAAAATATTTATCAGAAGGAATTTGGTCCGTACTACATTACGTTTCCATAGGGTAAAAAATAATGTCCATCTATAGGCATTTAGCACCAGACTAACACAACTAGTCTGGCAAAAACCTGCAAAATGTCTATAAGAAAAATGGATGGCTTAGAGTTCTTGATTATGTCATCAGAATTACGGGCAAACTGTACAAGTACATGCAACATACAAGTTGGCCTATGTGAAACTAACACACATTATTGAATTACCTTTTTTGTCTCTGTTTTTTATTTTTTTTTAACAAAACGTGCATGCAGCTCTGAATTACTCTATGTCATGCTGCTCTACTTGTGTGACCACAAAATTGAATGGCGCAAAAAAAGGTGGGGTGGGGGTCATACCAATGCACCTGCTGTCTGCAGCTTTTAGCACATATACAGAATTCACAAGGAGTTTCAAGGCCGAGAATGGACAAAGTCACCGCTAACTGAAATAGAGGAGGGAGGGGTTGATTTTCTAGTCCCAAAAAAGTAAAATATTTTGCGTTTAAAAAATCAAGCGTTGTGCTTGCATCAATCTCAAACAAATGTAAACAAAAATCTGATAAAAATATTAGTAAGTGCAGAATATTTCTACTGGAATTTCCAGTGAATTTTTAAACAGCTCATACCTTGCTCTACCCAGGACAGACAAGGGTGTCTAAAGTGACACATATCATAGATGCCTGAGTACAGCTCAAAGTGTCATATGCTCATTCCCACCATTGCTTGGTAATCTCGGATGTAAAATACACATTGTTTTCTTTAACACGAAAAACAAGTACAGCGACTGGCTGATGGCAAACAAAACAACACGGACAAAACATTATTTGTAAATGCCAAAGTCATAAAATCTCTTGCATCAACCTCAGCATTAGTTGCAGATAGGATTCTTCAATCCTCTCCCATGCTTAGAAAAACAACAGAAATCAAACAGAAAATATCATAATCTGTACTGCAATCCAAAATCTATAAAATAAAAGTGGAATTTTTTTTCATATATATTATATATTATATCCTCTATTTTTAGTTTATTTTTTGTAAAGAATATTTTTAAGCAATCATTTATTCCACAGACTATCATAGTCAAACAAAAAAAAATAACACAAACAAGTTGGCTTTTTTTTTATCAATCTGCATTTTGGACAATTAAAAGTTGGCAACCTGGTCATGTGATATAAAGAAAGCTGTTGCATTCATACTGATTTTTGTAGTGTTATTCAATTTCTGTAAGAACAAAGATGCATGTTGTCACACCTAGACAGGGATTTTGTGGCATGCAACTGCTGCACTGCAGCGTCTGCATATCAATTCCTAGCCCTGGTGCCAGAATGCGGGAGTTTAGTGCAGACAATTGCTGTGCTCCAATTAAATGGCAGCATGCAGTATAATACATAAAATACATCTGTGGCTCCAAGTTGTGTAACACTACATGAAAAAAGCAAGGTCATTAATAATAGGACAGCACTACATAGCAGTGCTTCTCAAAGTCACTGTAAGTATTTCAGGCAGCAGGGAATATTACACAGAATTGTAGCCATTATCACTTCTGTAATGCTCAGCTTTCACAAAATCAATAAAAAGGACAAAAAGCGTTGTGAGAATTATCACAAATGCTTTTTTTTTATGAAACTGGCAGATTAACACATTATATTAAAAAAATAATGGAATTAACAAGTATAAAATAGGTGGAAATACCAATATGATAACACTGCTTATGATCTGTAAAAATGTATCACAAACATTTCTAACAGAGTGAAAGCTTCCAGTTTGAATTCAATGTCACCTTTACTATACCACTGAGCATGTGTGACTCCCAATAGTGCTGAACGGTATGTTCGTTTACAGTACTCATATTCTTGTTTCTCTCTGCCAATATAAGATCTTTTTTGGATCACTACTACAGGCAAAAAAAATAAAAATGATTGTCTGTCTCCAGCAATGCTTTTGATCGTGTAAATATACCTCTCTGATTCTTTTATTGGGCATTAACATTGTGATTACATCAGGCTATACTGCCTTCCAGTTCATTAAGACCTAATGGAAGGAGGCCCTGTTGAACTTTCAAGAGATGACTGGGAAGCCCTGCGGGTTAAGGGTGTCAGTGTTGGATCCACTAATGACGAAGGCGGAAACAACTTGTACCATCCAATCACCACACTAGACAGATCAAGTTCTTCCAGGAGAATCTGCGCAACACCCATGAAGCTCTTATGATCCATTCGGCCATAGTCTCCCCAGACAATTACCTTGAAAAGAAAAATAATAAAGTTTGAAACAAGGATTACAGACAGATTATAACAATATATGGTCACGCTTGTCTGTGCTTTATTGTTTATGCAAGAATGTATCTATAAGAGATGAGTGGGTCTATATGGTCCAATTAAGATCTGAAGGATCCACCAGACCTTAAATATCCACATATTAGGGTCTCTGACTTAGATAAAGTTTTGTTTAAGGCTAGTTCTTACAAGCATAAAGGCTAGTATCAATATTTTTAGAAAGACTACAAGTATGCAAGTCTGCTCTATTGATAATAGGTGTATGTTAATAAGGGGCCTAAAAATAAAAGAAAGAAGTTCTACTTTTAATATATCAATGGTGGGCAATCTTTTTTTATAAAACCAATTTGACCTTTTCTGGGACCCGAAATGTGAGTTTTGAAAAACTGATCTGTAAATTGTTATCGTGAAAAAAACATTAATGGGCAAGCTGAAGTCCCAGTTCCTATTTACTTTTACAATAAAAGTAACAATTATGATTATTTTAATATTTTCTGACCATGGGTGATATTTGAAAAGCAAACACTAAATGTGAATCATTTGGAAAAAAAATAATCATAGAGAAAAAATAATCAAATACTGACATAAGGTTATACCGGTATGTTTTCTGAGGGCTAATTTTTTTAGTCAATATCCATGTATTTTTATTTATTCCTTTTTTATTCATTCAAATTTGTTTGTGAAGACAGAATTCTTCTTCACTGTGTTTTATGTTTCTGTGTGTTTTATCATTTAAAGCCCTTGTATGTGTGCACTTTTTATATTAATGTGAAGGATGTACATAAAGCCTTAAAATAATATTAGGATGCTAATAAATACATAACTTAAGGTAGTGTTTAAGAGCATAATTGTTTATTTGATGGGCTTCATCTGGTATAACACCAACATGCTAGAAGAGCAGGACAATTCTTTGCGCAACAAAGTTGACTAGAAGCTTGCACTGTATCTGATCTATAGCAGATGTAGACCCTTGACCAAACACAGAAGAGCAACCCTTCCTGGAATATGTCTTGTTACCATACTGTTCATGGACGTCACTGCACAAATTTGGTGGGTAAAAGGTAGTGACTGTGCAATGTCCTACTTCTCCACTCATAACAAGCCTATAACAAGCTTTGCACTTGAGGGGGCTATAGTGTTTAAACCAACTGTCAAAGACAAGAAAATCTGAAGGGCATATATGAGCCTTTAAAGTGATGTTTACGTCATACAGTACATATCCATAGTTTATTTTCATTCTAATCTTTTTTCCATAACAATGAACTGCATACAGTTAGTAAGTACTGATGGAGAACATTCAGCTAGCAAGATACTCAGGCTCCTAAACCTATTATTGCCAGCTTTACCTGAAGCACCTTTCCATGGGAATTTTCTTCAAAAACCAAGGTCTGTTGATAAAGGGGATCAAGTGTCTTTCGTGCAATTCTTGTCTTCTTCTTGGCTACACATGCTCCATTTTCTAAAAGGTACACCTTGACATACGGAGCTGAAAACAAAGGTAAATGTGTTAAACAATGTTTTCAAGTGGGTACAGTATTACCGCTTTAAACTATGGGATAAGCAAATATTGTCTAAATATAGGAGCCATGTGAATTCTTACTTAAAACTGTGCTTTGTGTATTACTTCCAGATCTGTGCAGTAATTCTGCGTGAAACTTTACCTCTGCAGGAGCTTCCTGTAATAAAGACCAGTCACTGCCGCTCTCTCTGCTTGTACAGTCTTGTGGTCATGTAACCAACCCCCTGCAGTTTCCTTGCTGCATCCTCTCTGAGAGCTCAGCGTTGCACAGGCTATATACAAATCAGTGATGATGTCACTGCTACTTTGACATGATAAGAGTGGATTTACATCATATGTGGGTACTGAGGATTATATTTAAATGAAAGTTCTTATGGCCAGAGTTTAGCTTAACATATTGCTATATATTTTTGTTCAAAATATGGAACTTTATGCCAAATCTTCCAAGACTGTGCTCCAGTTGGCTAATAATAATTTCATACTGTGACAGATCTAAATGTATTTGTGACCGGACTTTAACACTGCCACAATTTTTAGGTAAACCAGTGATCTGTGATAGGCAGCCTCAGTAACCAACAGTGAGTGACAAAGTGGAAAAGACAGGAGAGCACTTAAGGTGACACTCAACTCAGGAGTTAAATCATAAAAATACATTCAAGTACCCTAACTATTAACAAAAATGTATCTTAATGGTGTATCACTCAGCTGTAGATCCTCAAATAATTTCTGAATTGGTGCTGACACGCTGTCCTTCCTTCTGGAGGGTGGCTACTTTTGTTCCCCATGGTCCCTGTGTGTGTTGTAAAGTAGCCACCGATCCAAGCTCATTCCTGTGATGGACTACAATCACAGTACAAATTAGTAACTAAACGTGAGATTGTTGTCCATCACAGGACAAGACTGTAACCTCTTCTCCAATATATTTAAAACTAAAGTGTACATTTTGTCTACCGAGCTGTGAGGTACAACCTTTCTACATGAGAGCTAAAGTTCTCTAATACAACATTTCCTATAGGATACAGTAATGGTGAAGCAGAGGTGTGGATAACCTCATGTCCATAGTTAGTCCTGCCACATGTCTAATTATAATCTACTAACATGCAGAAAGCCTTCAAAAGATGGAGTTGGGAATCTCAGCCTGCAGAATCTCATGGCTAATATTTTTAAGGCAGTGAATATGACCGTTACCAAAAATGCACCTGAAAGTTTCTCTTGCAGAAAATGTTAACTGAATGTCAGATTCACTGCTTAATAAATATGCCCCAATATTATAAGTGTTTCCAGAGTATAAGATAGCAAGAAGTACCCAGGCACTTAGACTGTGTCCATTGAATTTGAATACTATATTCAGGCTATATTTTTATCTTTACCATTGTACCAGTGGCATAACAATCGCCATAGCAACCCAGGCGGCCGCTATGGGGCACGGGCACAGGGGGGCCCGGCCAGGCCATCCCTCTGATGCTGTGTGGGCCGCCTGGGTCGCTATGGCATGTAAGGGTGCTGGCTGTCACTGACACAGCTCAGCAGCGGCGTTTCCCCCCACAGCCGCTGTGGAGCTGTGTCAGTGACAGCCAGCATTCGCAGTGAATGAGGAGGCGGGGCCCGCCTGAGAGCAACCCCTCCTCCTCTTACATCACTGGCAAGCGACCTAAGAGCAGGTGGGGCCAATGATGTATGAGGAGGCGGGGCCCATCCATAGAAGAGGAGACGGGGCCCAGGTACGTAAAAGGAGGCGGGGCCCCCGGCAACCACGGCGGCGGACAGCGCTGACAGGTAAGAGGTGTGCAGCCCATCTGAGACCCTGCAGAGCTCACTATAGAGAGTCTATGGTGGGCTCTGCAGGGTCACTCTCAGTTGGGCTGTTTGGTATATCAGGTGGGCTCTGCAAGTGGCATAACTAGCAATCATGGGGCCCCATACAAAATTATGCTATGGGGCCCTGTGATTATTAGTTACGCCCCTGCATTGTACACATGCTTTGCACTTTGTGGCTGGATTTGTTCAAATGGAGAACTAGACAGAAGGACTGACTTTGAACTTTGGACTTACCTGGTGTGGATTTCGAACCAGGTTTTTGTGTTAGACCTCGGGCTCTTATTACTTCAACCTCTAGCTGTCCTTTCTTATCTACCATTCCAATTTGTATGTCACCTGAAACAAAACATTTTATTTTTACATAAATTAGGTATAATTGATCATAGATTATCATTGCATAACTGTTTAAAGCATAATTCCACCTCTAGGCAAGTTTTTAGTAGTAAATGCAGCATAAAGGCAACAAAGGCTTTCTTATATTCACCTTTCGTTCACAAGTTTTTACTACAGTTTTGCAAACACAAAGGCACAAACTACAGAGATCATTCATGTCAATGCAATCTCAGTCAAAACTAAGCTGGGTGCAGGTTTACAATCAGCTACAAGACCCTAAAATCTCATCTTACATAAAAAGGCATACCATTGAGGGTTGCATACACCATAGCAAATCTTTAGCCTACATTTATGAGCGAGTTTAAAGGCAGTTATTGTCCTACTGGCATCCAACAAATGAAAACGGTGAAAGAGGCAAGGAGACATAGCAAAGAGGAAAGCTAGTAGCAAATAGAGAAAGAGAGACTGCTTATATTCATCTTCATCTAAACAAAATCTGACTTTGTCCCTTCTGCTCTTTGAATTTATTTGTAAATATATTTGCTCATGGCTCATAAAGCAGTGTTCAACCTTTTAGAAGGGAAAATATGTAACATGATAGAAGGACGAGTCTTCCGTAAAAGCTAGCCATTCATGGCTCCCATTTTGGCTGATTCCTGTTGACACCATTAACAGAATTTCTCAAAACTGGAGCATACAAAATCTGAGGGGGTTGTGCATGGCAACTAATCAGCCTCTCGCTTTCATTTTTACATCCTAACTGATTGGTTGCCATGCACAGCTGCTCCAGATTTTGTCTGCTCCAGTTTTGATAAATCCCCTCCCCCCCGTGTTCTTTTGTTGATTTAAATGTTGATTTAAAAATCGACTGACCTGCATGCAAAATTATTGGCCAAATAGTGGCCGCATCCAATCCGATACAATTACTGTTCAGGTATCCAGACAACCTGTCTGAATAGAAATGCTGGCACTGGAGTTTACTCCATCCACACTTTTTATTGCAGATTGGGAATCGTGGGCTGAACTAGAGACATCTAAACGTATATGGTTAGCTTTAATATGCCTTTACGGTTTATTCAGAGAACAAGACTTTAAATGCTCCCTGATGTCCTAGGCGCAGCCTGCTTGGGTAAAGTATCACTTGGACAAGATATATTGCTGCTGTTTTTCACTTAAAACAGCCACCACCTGAGCACTCCCAATTCCCTGCTGTCAAGGAACAAGCAAACATATTTATCAAGTCATTGTTTATAGGAACAATTGTTGGGTGCACTGAGCGCACATGGCCAGCTCCTATTTAGTGTAACTAGGCATATTTTAAAGGACTGATTTTAAGTTGATATAGCCAGTATACTATTAATGAAGAACTCCACAGAAAATTATTATTAACCCTTGCAGTGGGGTTACCCCCACTGCAAGGGTTAGATGCTTGTTTGGTCTAGGGAGGAAAATAAAAAAGTTATACTCACCTGATCTTCTGAGCTGGCTGGCTCTGAGACCAGTCCTTGGAGTCTCTCTCCCCCTACACTGCAGCAGTCTAAGGGCCCCTAAAAGCATCATGTTCTATACACAGTTTATAGAACATGAAGAGACTGAGGGACATTTATCGCTGCGGTGTAGGACGAGACAGGCTGGAGGAAGCGCTGGCTCGCTCTGAGGATCGAGTGTGTATATCTTTGTTATTTTTACCCTAGACCAAAACAAGCATTTAACCACTGAAATGCGAGGTTAGTCCCACTGCAAGGGTTAATAACAATTTTCCCCCGGAGTTCTGCTTTAAGTTTTGTGCACACGCAACATTCCTAATTTAATGGAAGAACATTTTAAATGAAGCTAAGCAACAGATACAACAAGTTTATTGCAACATGATTTATTAAATGTAAAAAAAAAGTTTGCATTGCACATTTATAATTTAATTTTAAAAAATTAAGATTGCTGTCAGTTTATGATTTAAGATGTCACATATTTTTTGTATTATTCCTTCATAAGTTTCCTAATATTGAATGCACTAATATATTGTTAAAGACATTTCCTTGACTATTTCCATCTTTACAGTAAGGCTTAAGACTTCAAGGCTTAAATGGTCATGTTTCATAGTGTTTAGTCTAACTTCTCAAGTTATATACAACACACTCCTGTTCAAAGATTACACTTCCCTTTCATGCATTGCTCAACACGAAGTTAAACATGCTAGTACAATTTTGTTTCTGTTAAAATAGACAGCAGAGGGTGCCAACACATTGTAAGAGATATTGCATTACATGTGATGTAATGCATTACAGCACCTACAACTGTAACGCAATCTCCTTGAGATTAATTACTATATTTACTAAGTTTTTAGCCAAGACATACTGATAAGATAAACATATTTAATCTTTTAGATACCAAAATTTACACAAATGTTTAAACTGCCCTGTAAATTCAGTGTAACTTCATCTCCTCAATTCTCCTTCAACATCATTACATGCACAACAAATATATATATTCGCAAATTTTGTGCAAGACATTCATGCATCTAAGACTACGGGATTGATTTACTAAAGGCATATAGGCTGTTTACTTTGCAGGGGAATTTTGCAAGAGATGTGTCCCCTTGGTTTTAGGCTGGGTTCACACCTAACCTTTGTTAACCCCGATCCACTCTCGGGAATACCAATGGCAACGCGCGGCAAAACGCCCCAAAAAAGCTCCTGTACTTCTTTGGGCGTAGGGCGTTTTGCAGCGCGTTCTGTCCAGAAACCACACTGATCCGTAGCCGCCCTGGTGTGAATGGGGACTAAAGGCAAATAGGCCATTTACTTTGCAAGGAAATTTGCATTTTGAAAGGGATTTTTGCCTTAGTTTAGTCAATGAGGTGAAACTTTGCTGACTTGAATCATCCAATTATGTGCAAGCAAAAATACAGTTTTTTAAAAATCTTGCTTGCCTGTGTTTGAGTATTCTTTGAATCACCAAGTTAAAGGAAAATTCCCTTGCAAAAAGAACAACCTATTTGCCTTTATTAATTCAACCCCCCTAATCGCTGTTGAATTAACTGGTTTAAAGCAGTGTTGCGTTAGTAAGTGTGGACCTCACCTCCTATATACTTGTGCGTATAGATACCATGCACCTCCTATATACTTTGTGCGTATAGATACATTTGAATTAATAACACTATTTTTCGAAGTATCCTCAACTCTAGTACAGTCCTAAAGGAGAACTATGGGGTTAAGGCTTTTCCCCATAGTTCTCCTTAGGGTAACGGGAGGACACAAACTAGCGTCCTCCCGTCACCCTAGGCTCAGTATATCGCGAGCTACCACACAAACTAGCGTCCTCCCGTCACCCTAGGCTTAGTATACCGCGAGCTATAGCTCGCGGTATACTGAGACGCCGCAGTATACCGCGAGCAGCTGCTCGCGGTATACTGAGACGCCACAGCTGAAGCGGATCCTGACAATTGTGCCGGGATCAGCCCAGCTGCGTGAGTGGCAGCTGACTCTCCCTATCTAGAGGCAGAGCCAGCTGTACCTGCCCCCTCCCCCGTCCGTTCCGCCAGTCAGCGCTGGCAGATCGGAGTGGGGGGAATCCAGCCCCTCCCCTGTCACGGCTCTCTGCTGTGACAAGATCGAGAGGTGAGCGAACGCCGGTATGTGTTCGCTCACCTCCCGATCTACTGAGCCGACCTGTGACAGTCTCATTGTCACAGGTCGGCTAGAACTATGAGGTGAGTGAAAAGCACTCACCTCATAGTTCTCCTTTAAGTTATTTTCACTCAGACTACAATGATTCTGGACCAGTTTTATGTTGTAGCCTGCTGGTTGACCATATGAAATCATTTTTTAAAAGTGTGCTTACGCCACCTGTAATACAGTTAAGACTTTATATAGTGAACTACCATCTGCTATAAGTTGGTTCAAGTTTTATTTTATTTTTTTAAGGCAAAGAAAAGTATAATTCATGGTAACTAAAATCAGAAATCCTTTTTCAGCAGCTTGAATAGTTATTTTTTGTATGGGCTATGAAACAACATTGTCTATTTACCAAATATTAATAGGTAGGCCTTATTATGTTTGGATTGTGTACATTACATTTTCTTACATTAAACTTTGCATGTTCTGGACGATGTTTTTTTCTGTACAGTAATTTCCAGAATGCTTCCATCACCAAAATGTTTTACAATGCATTATACTCCTGCCTTTTAATGGAATCGTCATGACCAGTTATTATGGTATATTTTTAAAAACATGTTCTAGTTTAAAGTAAAAAAATACATTTAATTAAATATTATGTAGGAAACTCAAGTAAATATTATGAAAAAACTATGTTTACTGCCACTGTCCAAGTACAAGAATACAGGTCAAGGTCCTGATTTAGTCCCAATGACGTAGTAAAACAAGGCTGACAATGGCAGCCCAGGAAACTGCACCTTTAAAAAACAATTTGGCAATGGCAGCTTCCATATTTTTAAGGCATCCTTTATGGTTAGTATGACAAAGAACAGTGTTCTTTTTTGTGTTTCCTTACTCTAAGCTGAGTCTTCTGATCTTTGGGCTCTGGTCAGGACCTTCACTGGCAGGAGATAAAACTACAGTTGGTCCGACTCACATTTAATCACAAATTAAATAATTATGTAGTTCAGATATCTAGATACTGTTTCTGGTTCTTGTTAAATAGTTGTTATGTTCACAGAGGATGTGTGACATATTTAATATATTTATAATATACTACAGTATTTGTTATTATACGATTGTTGTTTTGAAGAGTTGCAAAATGCTAAATATTTCGTCTTTAAATAATAAAAAATAATACAAATGATTTCTATACATTTTTCACCTGAAAAATATCCTGCTAGTTCCTCTACTTTTTGGAATATCTTTGCTCTGATAAAGTGCACCCAGGTTTGTGTTTTTGAGGTTACTGTTTGTCAGCTTCCCCCTGTTCTGTTTATAAATACAGATATACAAGTCTAGCGTTTAATGTTTTATTTTAAATAAAATGGCTACTTTCATGGATATGGAAAATGTGGCCAAAGCTTGTGCTCAACATGATATTTTATTTCAAATTCAACTAGTCTCCAACTTAAGTAGGCTAAACATCAGCAGATCGAAGGAGCAGAATGGAAGTCTTCGGCTGAACAGAGCTTGCAGCCAGTCAGCTGCATGCTCCATTTGGTTATTCTGACAGCCACCGGGAGCCTCTGTCAAAATACAATGCAGAGCAGCAGGGGATTCAACCATCCATGCCCGTAAACGTTGATGGAGGTAGTTGTTAGTTGTAAAACACTAATGCATTGTAGTACTGAGATCCTGAATTTGTAATCAATGTAAATGGAAATTGTATGTCTCCTTGTTTTTAAGTTGGCATTCACAGTTGGCATACTGTTGTATGAACTATATTTAACCAAACTGGACATGTATATGTATGTAAATTCTGCAGTGAGTGTGTAACTTTGCTAGAGACAGACTGTAGGCTGTAAACCAATGTAACTGGTTAAAAAAAATATTCTTCATGCGGCAAAATATGTTGACAACTATAAATATGGGAAATAACATTAAGGATGCTAACAATCTTTCACTATGTGACTCTTATTTTGAGTTTTCTGTAGGTATACATTTAGTTTTTATAGTCTAGGAAGGTACAATATCTATTTTTATTAGCAAAGCTCTTCTAAGCCCAGAAATTACTTCCCTCGTTTTCTTCCTGCTACCTAATTATTCCCTCCATTCTTACTAATTAAACAACTGTTTGCATAGACAGCTTCTTGTAATGTCCTGTAGCCAATTAAGCCTTGTTAACCTATTTTATAATGAATGCCATATGGCAGATTCAGAACAGCTAGGGTACTAAGTAATAAGCACAACTGATGATTCAAACTGTTTAATAAGACTGAATCAAAGCAGATCAGACACTTGTAGAGATGAGTGCTTAAATCAATAATATCTGCAATATGAAATTCTGATTTGTCAAGGATAGGTTTGTCACCTGTAAAAGCAGATGCACAAATCTATAATGCAGTTTAACAATCCATTCATATAGATTTGGCAATTTTTTAGAATACATATTTTTCGAAGTCCCCATGAAAGTGGGAACAATAATTAAATGTGTATGCTTTCCATGCTGTCAATGTGGAATAATTATATTTAGTAAATTACCTGTAAATGCTGGAAGGGGGCAAGGTTTAACACCATCTTGTAGAAAGATGAGGCCCTACATATAAAATGTACATGGGATCCTAGGAACTTGATCTAAAAGTTAACACACCAAAAGGTGCCTGCACTTCAGTGACATTGTTTCCTTGGGCACTTTTTAGGAAAGGTTAATTTTACAGGTTTACGAATGGTGCTAATGACTGCTTCACACACCATAACTCCTAGAATTGTTTATAAACATACTATATTTGGGAATAAATAGATAATGGTATGAATAAAATAACATTTTAAATGAAATATGTTAATTAGTATGCCAGAATACTTCATGATCAGTTCAGAGTCAATTTTGGAATGATCATCAAAAGTGTAATGGTAGGATATGTTTGAACTTACCGCTTTCAAAAGGAAATTATTTGTGCAGCCGTCATTTAATGTACAAAAATTGTACAGTACATTTCCTAATTAACCAATGACAACTAGATTAACTTGCCGCCAGCCAAATATCGATCCCCCTTGTTGGCTTGTTAAGGAAAAAATATTACATTGGGGAACCCACAATTATTGAATTGTGAAGATTTTCCTGACTGACTATGCCAAGCTTGAACATGCCAAGGTCCAACTGTTCTGTAAGCAACTTACTTGCTTTCTCAGAACCTAAGAATCTTAATAAAGCCTCTTTTTCTGAAATACCCAAGGTTTTTTGCACTGAATTTATTGCATTTACCTCACACTGGCATTGAGCCTCCGCAAATAACCTCTTTAGTTCCCCGTACTACAGGTAAACTTTATTTTTTGCCTTGCCCTAAATGTACCTCACGGTAAATGTAAAACTCTTTGGTGTCGATTTACTAAAGGCAAATAGGCGGTTTACTTTACAAGGAAATTTGTACTGTGCAGAAGAGGTTTCCTGTTACTTTAGTACATGAGATGAAGCTCTGGTGACTTCCATCAACCAATCATTTTTTATTTTCCTTGCACATGATTGAATTTTACCATATTCATCAATCTAAGGGAAATTTCCACTGCAAACTTACATATCCCTTTCGCAGGCAACAGCCTATATGTCTTTAGTAAATCAATCCCTCTGTGTCTGTGAAGGTTTCCCTTTTATCCAGGTCATGGTTAGTTAGTAGTACTTAATCACGTTCCGCTGGACCTGTTCTGTAACGTTGCAGACATTGAAAAACTGAAAAAGCTGCAGTGAAACATTCAACATTACAGAACAAGTCCAGTTGAATGTGACAAAGCACTACAACTATGGAGCTGATAGATGTATTATTAAATCATCACGGCTGTATATACAATGACATTGGCTTACTCAACCAAAATATTACTTTTTTTAAAATAAAGGACTGCTGTTTTAATAAGCACTTACCCATAGCAGGAGTTGCCAGTGTCTGTCGGCCAACTAGTTGTGCAGGACCAAGTCCATCTAGAAAGTCGCTGAATTGGCTGTCAACACCCAGTCTTACTCCTGGAAATATTTAACTGCAGACAAAAAAAGAAGACATATACAAAACAATGCTCCATAAGAAGGGCACTAGAAGTGAAGACAATAACAAACAAAAATGACATAACTGTCTGTCTGGCTTAGTTACTGACAATAACACAAGTTCTAAAAATAATCTCAGACACTGCATACTTATGAAAAATTAAATAAGGCTTCCAACTCTAATCCATTTTACAGTATCTTGGTAGCACACAGAAATCTGGAAATACTTCATAGACTATATGAATGTAAAGTGTATCTAAACCCCAGAGCGAAAATGTATATATTGCGGATCACCAGTCCTCCTTAGATGTGGCTGCTGCATTAGTTTCTTTTTAAGTTCTTCCCTTTATTATTGCCTTGTAATCCTGACACTTCCTATCCTAGGATAACCATGCCCATTCACCAGACTGAATCTATGGAGGGACAGCTGCTCTCCTGATTTGGACTACAAACCCTCCCACTCTTCATTACATAGGGAGAAGGAGTTACGTAGCTTACAAAAGATCGCTTTAAAAGCTAATAACATAGTTCAAAAAAAGTCAATGAAATAATGGACTTTTGTCGATCGAGGTGGTGCCAGCAGGGACGCACACACAGAGCTCCAATTTCGAGCAGTGTATGACCAGCTTTAGTTTTTACAAGTCACACTTCTAACAACTGCCTAAGATTTTAGGAGCAAAGGTACCAACATAACATTGTGTCTTCTGATCATTGCAATTCGTCGCAGTTTCATTTCATAACACTCGAAAATGGTAATACTGATTTCCTGTGTTAGGAATAATGGCAGACACTGCACTCATTATTTTTCCACACTGTATACTTACTTTCCTTCAGAGCTGTAGCTGTTAATACTTCCATCTGTTGACTCTCTGCTAGGCTGCCGAACCATACGACTCCTCATTTCAGCTGCCATTCCTGTTTCTGTGCTTCTTTGTATTGTACTTTTGAATTTCTTGTTGCTGGAATCTAATAAGATAATATGTTATTAATAGAAATACCTACACTCTATTAGGAAATCCCATAAACCAAATCCAATGAATTAATACAGAAGCAAATACCAACAATATAGGTAAATCATTATTAGCAATGTCATACTTGCTGTAATGTTTATTTTTGGAATGGAATCCTAGAAGGATACATAAGTCAAAAATTAAATTTCAAAAAATGATCTTTAAAACAGAACTCAGATCACCGTGAATTACAGATATAAAGTGATAAAAAATTATATTGTGTAATCCCCATGTGGAAGATACCAATATATACTTTCCACCATACACAGGTGGCACAAGTGAGAAGACAAGTGAGAAGACATTCTTTTACCACTCAATAAACAAGCTTGAATTTTAGTTTTTCATTGTAACCAAATTTGTAATTCTTACCATTTTTCCATAGATTACAATAAAACAGAAAGTTACCATGTATTTTCCAATATAGGAAAACAGCAATTCTTTAATTCATATAGCATATATGGTCATAAAATAAGGAATGTGGATTGGTAAATACTTGTCACCCTATTTTATAGATGTACACAGTGTGGTGACTAATAGACATACCTCAGTATAACAGTACATCTTCATGACCCTTATGCATGAATGATCCTATGCACTTCATCTGTTTAAAGAGAAATAAATGGCCTGTCATTGTTTTTCTCTTTCTAAAAATGCTAGTAGGTTGTTATGCTGTCTCGCAATCTTTATGACTTCCTGAGTCACTGACCCACAACAAGTAAGCAAAATAGGAAACTCAGTCAAAAGGCAGGTGTCCTTATGTGTATGCTTGTTCTGGGTTAGGGATTCAAAGTATTAATGAAAGGGTTGGCAACACAGCCAAACAACTAGAATTTTCAGAAGAGATTAGCAACTGAAGTATCCTTCCTTTCTCATGACAAAATTTGCTGTAGGTGTGACTACCAGGTAACTTTAATAGGTCTTACACAAAACAGGCAAAATAGGATCTGTAGATAATGTGTGAGGCAGACTTTTTTTCCCATTACCACAACCACCACAGTACAGTTCTTCCCTGTTAGTCTGCTTTAATTCCTACACAACACAACCTATGGTCAATATCTTCTACTGATAAGAAGTAAAAAGGTTAAAAACAGATGTATGCAGGCTAGCTATATGACTCTATTGGCCAATTCTATATCATAAGCTGATGCTCAGTTAGCCAGTCAAAGGGGGATAAAGCAATGATCTACATGGTTTTAACTAAAGCAGAGCTTAACCTTACAACAATTCATGTACAGGACTTTTTGGATCCTTTCTTATACTGTACATTAAACTACAGTTAACTGTATGAAGAATTCTGTACCATTTATAATAAAACAATGCAGTTCATTTTAAGCACACCAGCTCTTGAAACCGTTTGGACCAGAGACATTTTCACATTTCAGCTATTGGCCCTTTTGATTCAGCAATTACTTTGTTGTTACTTACAATGCCAAAGTTTTTAAATTAGAGTTAATATAATATAAATCTTATTCTGCAAATGTACTGGAGGTATGTATATATAAATAGGTATAACAGCACAAATACTTATTTAAAAGTGCTGCTATATGAATTATTTAATGGGTTACCGTGCTTTTGGAAAGCATACACAGAGACATGAACACATTTGTTGGTAGCTTTCCCTAAAAAAAAAGAACCCACATGTTTTCAGAAATAAGTGACCAAAGTAATTAGCAACCATTATTGTTTATTCCATGTCTAATTAAAAAAATAAAAATAAATGAAAATGGAATGGACTGAACCTCCCTGGCGGTATTCCCGAGTGTGGCTCGGGGTTAATTTTCAGTACCAAGAGAGGTAATTTTCAGTATTAAGAGAGGTAGAGCCACACTCGGGATTGCGCAAAAGTGTCACTTACCTTGTCCCTGCGAGCCCGCGGAGTCCTCTGCTGAGTGCGCCCAGCCGATGCCGACACTCGGCTTTCAGTTTCGTTTTCCCGCGGGAAATTTAAAAGTGCAAACATGACATTTACACAGAATACACAGAATACAATGTAATCTGCTATAATTACATATATTTATCAAACTATTTCACTTCAATTTTGTCCCTAGAACTTTGTCCAGTGCCCTGCCTGCACTTTTACTGTACTCTATTGACTGTGGTACGGATCAGGCAGCGCCCCCAGAATTCCCATTTACTGGGCCATTTTTTTATTATTATATTATAATTTCTTATAATTATTTATTATATTATAATTTATGATTTTGTGTTTCAAACTTTATCATACCCGGGATGTCTACTGGACTCTTGTTTGGACAGATTTAGTGAGTTATTCCTAAGATTTACTAAGAATTACAGGCCTACAATATAAAACAACAAATTTCCATGAAAAACAATGTACAGCTTTGGCATGCTAAAATCCTGCATAATCATACCGCCTGGGAGGTTAAATTATGGGACCCGTAACTGAAAATTTTGTTGCAATTTGTTGACAATCACTGCAAACAAGCGATTACAGTGAGACTTGTGCACCAGCCAACAGGTAGTGTGGAACACTTTTCTTGAACAAACTGCAGCAGGAGCCGTCCTGCCTTCTCCAGACTGGGTGTTTCAGCTTTTTAATTAGGTGTTCAATAGGATTCAGATCAGGACTCATAGAAGACCATTTCAGAATAGTCCAAGGCTTTGTTCTTAGCCATTCTTGGGTGCTTTAAGCTGTGTGTTTTGGGTCAACATCCTATTGGAGGACCCATGACCTGCACAGGAAAACAGCTTTCTGGCATTGGGCAGTGGGTTTCCCTCCAGAATTCCCTGATAGTCTTTTAAGATTTCATTGTGCCCTGCACAGATTCTAGGCACCGCGTGCCAGACATAGTAGTACAGGCTGTGCCGCCCCAATAGGGGCATAGAATATGAGATTCATAGCCTCAGTTAATATTAGCATTGTTATATAGGTTAGAATTTATATAGTGTGATTTGCCTAACTACACTTGAACCTCACCTAAAACATTTAGCTGACTGCATCCCACCGCTTGACAACGATGCCAAAATTATGCTTCTCTTAGGCAGAGACATCCTGAGAGTACATAAGGTACGTCAGCAGCACAATGGCTGGAATGATGATCCTTATGCCCAAAAGACTGATCTAGGTTGGGTACTTATTGGAGTCGAACGAGATTGTGAACCTCGTGCCTCAGGTGATGTGTGCTCCAATAAGATCATCGTACAGGTAAGCCAAGACAACATCACTACACCACCCTGCAATTGTTCTGGTAAGACTATGCACCAGACTTCCTTCAACAGCTCGGACGCGCAGGAATCCACTGATGCAAGCACCCAGGACAACGCACCTGATTCTTCAACCATCACTCCAGTAACTTCACAAACAGTGAACCTCTTTGGAAACTCATCGGAGTCTTCTGCACCAGTCATCATGCAAGATGATTCTCCTCTTCATGAAGAAGCAATAGACCTGCTACCAAAGAATCAAGGTCCTGAATTCCTGCTGGATGATCCAGAAGAAACCCCAACTGATGACTTCAGTCTTCTAGATCCTGACATCGATCCAGAGATTCATCCTGAAGGCAACACCCTTGTCACCAGATCGGAACAAGAATTCGTCTTGGACTGTCACTTCACCAAGTGTACAAGGCCTTACCGCACTACTACAAGGTTAGTCCATGCTACACACTGCCAAACCCAAATATAACCAAGCCTCCTCTTTTTTACAGCAGTACAGTGTTCTTGTCTTTGAAGGTTTAATTGTTTTCATCTGTTAACACAGGGCTGATGTGACTTGCCAAAAAGCTCCAGTTTTGTCTCATCTGTCCAAAAGACAGAATACAGAAGGCTTGTGGCTTGTCAATATGCATTTTAGGAAATTGCAGTCTGTCTTTTTTATGGTTTTATGTGTCCTTCTGGATCTACTTTATTTGATCACACCATCCATCACTTTTTTAATGGCAGTGGGCTCACACATTGATGTACCTTGACCCTGGAGTTCAGCTTTTATCTCTTTGGAAGTTTTCATTGGCTATATATTTGCACTATCCTTCTGTTCAAACTGGGGTTGCTTTTCCTCACATAGCAATGTTAAAGTTGGTTGGCTACAATTACATGGACTTTAAACTTCTTAATAATATTTGCAAATGTAGTCAGAAGAACATCAAGCTGTTTGGAGATGGCCCAAAAGCGTTTAGCTCCTCAGGCAACTTTCTCATTTGCTTTCTCTGGTTCATGTTCAGTGTGGTGTACACGATGATACCAAACAGCAGAGTGGCTACTTTTCTCCATTTAAATAAGCTGACTGATTACAAGATTGAAGACATACTTTATGTGATATTAATTACAGAAAGCAGTTTGAAATAACACTATGGGGTCTATTCATGAAGCTGCCGAGGGCAGCCGAGTGAATGACCGATCAGAAGTGAAGTGAGCCGAACACTGTTCGGCTATTCACTTCAGGCTGAATTAAAAACAAAAAGGTAGATATTCAGAATGTTAATTTTTGTAGGAGAAAATCAAGACAAAAGGGTAGATTGTTCTTAGGCACAACTGCCATTTTCTAATGTTCCCTATAACATAGCAAATCTGTCATTTTTTTTTAGTTCAGGTTATTATATCTTTATCTATCATACGAGATGCTGCTAAGGCATACGTGAGATATCTGTTCATTAAAAACAATAGGTTATCTTCCATTTTGTGGGATCTAAAATATATTAAAAGCAGTGGCATATAACAAAATCAAATCATATCTAAATCCTTCGGAAAAGGCCTGTTCTGTCTGGCTATGGACACAACCATAAAATAATGACTAAAAATAAAGCAGAAAAGATACTTTTTTTCGCAAAACAGCAATATTTTACTAAGGGTCAACAAATTAGTCATCAGCAATGTTTATATATGTTCACAACTACATTTAAAATCCAGCTAATACTAAATGTTTTTTTTTATCAGGACCTGTATTATTACAAAGCAGGCTATGATATGGAGGAAGTGGATATTTACCTTTACCACACT